AGACTTCGCAGGCCATCGCGGTCAGCCAATCGACCGAATTTGTTTGACCTCAGTTCTTGGGGGAAAACACTGTCGCGCTCACGTCCCTTTATTTCTTTCCACACTTCTTTCGCCTGACTTTACTTAGGGTTGGGGAGGGCCAAACTGCTAGTTTGTTTTGAGACAACTAAGGGAACCATGACAACAGGATCCACATGTGCAAGTTTGGGCATGGCATGTTTGTCACATGGCCCTTCTCACCAGCCGCACGAGCTGGTTTCATGCTCCTTGATGCCCGCTGTTACCAAGAACTGGCCGTGAACTTTACTGCTGCACCCTCTCTACCATGTTTGGTGAATTGTCCACCAAAGCTTGACCCGAAAGTACGGAGACGCTTTTTGTGGACTGGGCTCCCAAATTGTCTCCTTTCGGAGATCACCTAAGTTCAAGATGAGTTTTTCTAGGGATGAGGTTGTGCCTCTAGTTGGAACACATGAAAACCGGGAAATCTAGTAGCAATGTCTTTTGGGGCCCAGGGAAATATAGGTCGAGCCCATATCTTTCCCAGTGCATCCAGGCAACCCACTTTACCCATGTAAAACCTCGAGGTAAAATACCGAAGGGTTACCTTTGACACCCAGAAGCACGGGGTTTTGGGACCCAAAAATCAATCACTCCGAAAAAGGCAGAACACCCCCCACCCCCAACCCCACCAACCCAACCCCACCCCACCCACCCCACCCCACCCAACCCCTCACACCCAACCCCACCCCACCCCCCACCCAACCCCACCCCACCCCCCTCACCCACCCAACCACCCCAACCCCTCACCTCACCCCCCCCCCCCCCACTCATACCCCCCCATCCAACCCCTCACCAACCACCCCCCATCCAACCCCACCCCACCCCCCCCACACCGTTTTTGCACCACCAATCTGAAGGGCATTACGTGTGGATAAAAGGCGCTTCAGAAAGGCAATATAAAGAGCAGCGGCAGGCGAACGGGTGGCTGGAGTTCTTCAAGGACAGGACCAGGCTCTGCGGGGCGGAGGGCCTCGATCTGCCAGATCTATTGCCTTGTCAGATTTTGCATCTGCCGCCCGGTCTCATGGGGGGGGTCGCAGCGCTCCATCCCTGCGGACATGAACGCCAGCGTGGAGAACTTGTCGACTATTGACGTTTGGCTCTGGAACGGTCCCGAGCCCAGAGAAAACCTGCGGCCTCGGCCGCCCTGGCGCCAACCTTTGCTGTTTGGGCGGAAGCCCCCCTAAGCTTTCAGCCGTTGGAAAGCCAGCCCGCTCTGCACGAAGTCCTTTTCGCTTCCAAGGCTCGCCCGGCCTCTAAAAAAGCGGCCAAGAGCTTCCGCGCCCTCGATGCCGACGCGAAGTTGGACGCGCTGGGGAACTTGCCGCTGTACAGCTACGAGGCACGGCGCGCGTCGCGCGCGGGCTGTTGCGAGAGCCGCTTGCGCCAGGTGCCAGAGAACAACAGGCTCTTCGACCGGTACCGCGAGATTGCCGGGCGCCCGTTTGTGCCGCGGAACAGGGCGGCGGGAGGCGGGGCACGTTCGCACTTTTTTCGTTGCCACGTTGGCGTGCTGCCCCCCCAGCGAGCAGCGGTCCTGGCCCAGCGGTGTCCTTCCAGCCGCTCCGCTCGCGAGCTCGACGGGCTGTGGCGAATTGACTGGAAGGGCGCGCTGCTCAAGCCAGTCCGCCTAGAACTTGTGGGGCGCGCTGGCCGCCCCTCGGCAGCAAACGCAGCGCGTCGGGCACTTAAACTTTGTTAGCAGCTTTTCGCTTGCTCGTAAAGTTGTCAGGCGCTCGTTTAAAAAAGAAACGCTCGAAAACTCGAGTTGAGAAAGCGAGCTCGCTAGCAGCTGTCGCCTGACGGCTTTCGAAACTGGGGGCCTTCCGCGAGCAAGCTTGTAGTTGTTTTTTTGCCCCGGGGGATCGCGCTGAGTTCATTTTTTCTTTGTCCGGCTTCGGTTTGTTGAGAAAACCGGCTTTCGTGATTTTTGGTCGGCGCTCGCCGCCCCGGCCACGCGCGTTGCGAGGTTTCCCGGCCATGCTCCACGCGCAGCAGATCAGGGAGGACGGCGGCGCCTATTACGCGCCCAAGCGCTGGGAGGCGACCGCTTGCAAGCGCTTGTGTGTAAGCGCGCCGAACTGCAGACTGTTGCTAGGACTCCCCGTCGACTTCCTGGGCGCTGCAAGCGAGCCCGACTTTGGAAGAGGCGCGACAACCGCGCGCTTTGTTTGGGGGCGAAGCCGTGTTTTTTCGCCAGGCGTTCGCTCGTCTGCCCTTGCTTCTCACACCGTCGAGCACGGTGCCCGTCCCGGACAGCGTCCAAATCGTGCGGCTGAAAAAGGAGGAGTCCTTGAACCAGGCGCTCGACGCGCAGCGCTCGGCGAAGTTGCGCTTTGCCCAGCCAGGTGGGCCACGACCAGCTTGCAGGCGAGGCCTTGGTGGGGTGGGTTGGCTCGGAGACAGCAACAGTAGCATCAACAGCAGCAGCAACAGCACCTCGGCATCCCGGCGCGCTCGGACCCTGCGATGGCGGATGGTGAGGAGGCCGTCTCTTTTTTTTCCTTGCAAAAACATGCCCTTTTTTTTTGGTCTCAGGACCAGACGTGGGGCCCGTGGGGCCCGGACGTAGGCGGGACGTGAGCCAGGGGTGCATTCTTTTTTTTCGTCTCGTTGCGAGGTTGGGGTGGAGGCGCTCGGCAGGTGGCGGAGGATCCTCCGGCTGGGAGGCGCGTCTTCCCTTTTTTTCCTCCTTTTTTTCCTTTCCACGCTGCCTCTGCCAGGAGGTGGCGTGGAAGCCGAGCCGCAGGCGCGCTCGTTCGATCGCCTTTTCTCGGTTTTTTTTCGCGTCGCTCGTGGAGGCCGCCTCCATCGAAGCTCCGCCGGGAGGCGGAGCACAACGCCTCCAAGGCCCGTCTTTTTCCTCGTTTTTTCCTTTTTTTCCGCTCGCCTGGCAGGACAAGACGCGCATCGAGCTCGCTCTCAAGGCGCGTTCTTCGCCGTTCGGATGTCGGCCTTTCTTTTTTTTCCCGTCAGGATGAGCGGCTCGCCGCGGCGGAGACCCGCGCTTCCACCGCGGAAGCGCGGGTTGCCACCTTGGAGGCGGAGAAGGCGCGACCCTTTTTTTCGGGGTTGGGCGGGACCCGCAAATCCGTTTTGCAGGTGGCGTTGATGGAGGAGCTCGCCGCGAAGGCCCGTCTCCCTTCCTTCTTTCCCCCGCCGCGGTCTCGCCGGGGCCACGGCCCGCGAACTGCTCGGATGTCCGACCTACTTAGCGACTAGATCGCGGCTGCGGCTGTAAGTCAGCCAACTCCTGTTGTCCCTTGCGCGACCCTGGCTATAACTTATTTGCTAAGCAGGTTGACCGTCCAAGTAAAACCGAACTGCGAGCCCGCGTCTCCACGCCAAGGCTTCCCCACCCAACCCCTCACCCACCCAACCCCACCCCGCCCCACCCCCCACCCCCCACCCCACCCCCCGTCCCCCCACCCCCCTCACCCACCCAACCCCACCCCGCCCCCCAGCTGGACGCGTTGCCGTCGTGTGAGGAAGGGCTTGCCTCTTTCGAAGAAGGCAGGGGGAAGGGAGCGCGCGAGCAACGATTGCGCGGCGTAGTGGATCGTCGATTGGCATTGCCAGCGCCGTCAGACCAAAAACTCGAAGGACTTCGGCGCGGCCGTCGAAGAACTCTTCGAGGCAAGGGGCATCGGGCATCGGTCAGACATGACGTGGATCTCTCCGCCTCAGGAGCCCCGCGCGAAAAAGGCCCGAAAGGAAAAGGTGCTGGTCGACGCCAGCACCCAGGAGCACTGCGGCGACCTCAGTCATAGGGAAACTCAAATTTGTTAGGGGCATCGCGCGAGTGACATGTCTTTGACGCTCAGATGCGCGGAAGATGGAGGAGGAGGGCAGGGAGCTGGAATTGCTGCTGCGGGGCAGCTCGAGCGAGCCTGGTTTTCAATAGAGTCGCGTGCCGAACTCTTTCGCGCGCGGTGTTCCGTAACATTTTTGGGGGCATTGACGCGTCTGCCTGTGCTCAGGGCGAGGACAACCTCAGACACGCCCGCAGGTGTGAGCAGCTCGGTCTGGACAGCGGGCTGGGCGAAGGCAATTCGGCCCGCCAGTTCCAGTGGCGCGTTTAGAAGGCCAGGCGTGAAGTTGATTGCCTGGTGCTTCGGATCCGCGTCAATCGATCCAGAGCGGGGGGCGTGGGAGTAGTCCTCTCCGGGGCGTGCGTCAGCATGTCAGGGGGTTGGACCGCCAGCCCGCCCGGCCAGTCGCCGAAGGCCTGAACCCGAAGCGGTTCAAGGCCAAGGGTGGAATCAAAAGCGGTGCGCCGTGCCCGCGAATGGCGCGGGAGCATGGCGAGGCACCCAACCCCCCACGCCCCCCCACCCCCCCAACCCCACACCCCCCACCACCCCCCCAACCCCACCAGCCCACCCCCCACCCAACCCTTCACACATCACCCACCCCACCCCACCTCCACCCAACCCCTCCACCCATTTCGTCAGGCCTCCTCGAAGCACATCTTCTGGGACGAGCGGCCGGCAAAAGCGCCCGGCGGCGGTGCCAGGGCCCCCGGTCCGGGATTCGGCGGGGGAGTCTTTTTGTGCTGCTCCAATTGCTGAAATGAACTGGGTGGTTGTTGGGAAACATTTTCCCCATTTTTGTGCAAATTGCGGTTTAGTGGTTGAAATCCAACCGCTCAACTGCTAAGATTCAAATTTTTGCTCCCCTTCCAACGTCCAGTCTTTGTCGGGAGAATGCTTGGAATGCGTTGGCCCGCGAGATTGTGATTTGATTGGGGGGTACTGTCAGACTGTGTGCGGCGCACGTCATTTACGAGATGTATGTCCACCACTGTTTTGCACACAGGCGGGCTTAGCTCCGGAACAAGGAATACTGCCCAACCGCCTTTCTGGGAGCTCGGCATATGTCGCTTCGGCATGGTTTGCTCAACAGGGATATTCTCAAGATCGGTGGACCCCCTTTTTGGTTCGCATCTGCAGGGAATCCAAAGGAAAAGAAACCAGTTGAGGGGACTTTTGTTTGATTTCGAGAAGCACCCAACAATGTGAGAGCAGCATGGAGCCGTGCAACAATCGGAAAACCCAACCAGCAAAAGGACGCCCTCTCTCAAAAAAGCCATTCAGCCATTGCGGCACATGCCCCTTATCTCTTTTCTTTCCAGGGCTTTTGCGGACATCAAGTCTTGTCTCAGCAACTTGGCGCAGGTCCGCCGGCCTTTCCTGTGGTTTTCTTCGCCGGAGCCGCGAGACAAAAGGCGAGGGAATCGAATGCAGAAAAAGCAAAAGCCATTGTCAGCATTTGGGGGACCAAAGGACAACAAATCACCTGAGCAGGCGGCTTCACATAATTCTCCTTCTCCGGAACCCTGATATAGGAGCTAAATCTTTGAGTTTCACCTAGGAAAGCTGTGGCACGCTCAAGATATGGATATGTGTGTGCGTGCGTGTGTTTCTTTGTTTGTTTGTTTGTTTGGTTGATTGTTTGCTTGGTTGCTTGCTTGCTTGCCTGCCTGCCTGCGTGCTGGCTGGCTGGCTGGGTGGCTAGCTGGCTGGCTGGCTGGCTGGCTGGCTGGCTGGCTGGCTGGCTGGCTGGCTGGCTTGTTTGTTTGTTTATTTGTTTGTTTGTTTGTTGGGTTTGTTGGTTGGTTGGTTGTTTAGTTGTTTGTGAGTCTCTGGCTTTCTGAGTGCGTTTGTTTGTTTTTTTTGTGTTTGTGTGTGTCTCTGTGGATTTACTGTTTGTGTGTGTGGTTCTGTTTTTCGTGTCTATTGTTTGTGTTTGTGTGTTTGTTTGTGTGCGTGTGTCGTGTGTGCGTCTGTCTGGACGTGCTTGTGTAATTATTTGTGTGTGTCTCTGTGTATGGACTTAAAGGGAGGCTTAAAGGGAGACCAAATGGACAACCACAGTTTTCAGGGTCCCCTATTTCGACACATGCCCATATTGAGATGCTCCGGAACGCTGGCTGAGTTTCTACCGAAAGCTCCTATGTTGATGATTTTGTTTGCACTGAAGCCTTGTCCACCATGGGGTAAAGAGTGTAAATCTCAAAGGCTTCCAGTGTAATCCTGATTTTATACGAAGTGGTTATTGGTGGATCAGCTAGGTCGCATGCTTCAGGACGGTGATTTTCTTCCATGGCAACGCAGAGGACAAACTGCTCTGCCACTCTCAGAGCCCGTAGCATGAGACGCAGCCAAGCAGAGAGCCAGGTTGCAATGCGTGATTCCACCGCCTTCAAAGAGATGCTTGGTTAACAAAAAATGACAATGGGAAGCAAGCACCTTGATGTCACAGATTCCAGGTGGCTTGGTGGTTTTCCCGAAAGTTTTCCGCCAGAAAGCTCTTGCTCTTTGGGCGTCACATGCCTCACACGCCTCACATGCAGGACCTGCAGCTGATAGAGGCAGATCTGTTCTTGTTTACCAAGGCCATGAAGGCGGGGGGGGAGGGTTGGAGGGTTGGAGGGGGGGGCTTCCCGCGGTGGCGTTCTGTGGGTTTGTGGTCGGTGAAAATGGAAACCAAAAAGACAGTGGGGTTCTCTGTAGGTCCAAAACGGAGACCCAGGTTTCGCGTTTTTAGACACGTTGACAGACCTTCTACTCTCTGGGAAGCCCACAGGACCTGAGCATGCCAGAGTTCAACGAGCATGCCAGATTTCAGGCCACGCTGAAAAATAAATCTAAATCTTTTGGTTCCCCCTTGAAGCCGGCCAAGACGAGGTACCTCCAAAACCTCCCCCCACCACCGCACAGACCCGACCGCACAAACCTCCCGACCCCGCGGGCCGCGGAGTGCAACGTCCTGGCCGTGGAGTACCCGGGCTATGGGCTCTCGCGCCAGAGCAAGGGCTCCGAAGAGGCCGCAGTCCCAGTCCGGTGGAGTCGGGAGTCGCTCGGGCAGAAGTGGGTTCCCGGTCTTTCCCCGTTTTCAACCTCCGTTTTGTGGCCACAAGTGAGTTTCCATAGGTGTCCTTTTTGGTTGTTTTGCTTAAAAAAGATAGAAGGGACTGGTTTGCCTGCTGGTTCAATCATCTACCAGGGCCATATATTTTCCAAAAAGGACACCTATGTGAGCTTCCGTTCGGTGGAATGCCTAAAGCGGAAATGTAGGGAGTTAGATTTTACTTGGCAATATTATACCATCATCCACGGTATGATGGACGGGCTTGGGTGCAAAATTGATGTGAGCCAATAGCTTGTTCAGTTGAAGCATGATTGAACAAGGGCTGGCCATGGGGAGGGGAGGTAGATTGCGCCTTGTTTGTCTCCGCGTGAAAGGCTCAACGTTTTTTGTTGTCTCTGATTTGGAACTGGTAGAAGGCAGTTGCCAACGTCGCATACGCAAAGCGGGCAATTCGGCGGAAGTTGAAAGAAGATCCGAGCTCCGAGCCCAGTTCGTCCAGTTGCCACCATTTTAGGCAACCCTTCGGGATCCGTCCTCTCGGTCCTGGGTACCCCCCCTCCCCCCCTGAAAAGGTCAACCCCTTCAGTTTGCCAGTCGGAAGATATTCAGGTGAGCTTTGCGGGTGTGGAGGATGTGGGTATGCATGCGCTGCGCGGGATCCGAGCGAGCTCGCGGGCCCGGGAGTGGTGACGAAAAGCAGAAACCACAAAACGCGAGGTATCGCATTTTGGTTAAGACATGGTTGTTGGATCAAGTTGTGGTGTTTTTTCGGGTGCAGGGGTCGTTGTTAGTAGGGGGCTGCACAGAACAGCACATTTGTTGCCAAGCCATGCCAAGGGTTGTAAAGGTTAATGTTGACCCCAGATTCAGAAACCCATCCTTTTAATAGCAAGATTAAGGCCCCTCCAAAAGTGGTCTGAATCCCCTAAAAGGGGGACGCCCCCCAAGCAAGATCAACCAGAAGGTAAAAAGAACCGAGGTTCTCAGAAGGTGGTTCTGCTAGGCCACCTATGTTTGGAAATCTGTTTTTTGGGATCCCACATCCAGCTGCCCCGCGCTGAGGGCCTACTGCTGCCAGGAGCAGGGCATTCACCCTTCTCAGGCAGGGCTTCGGAGAGGTACAGCTTGGCAACTTGAAACATTGCACCAAACGGAACTTGAGGCAAAAGAGGCGTGGGGGGTGGAAAAGCGGGACCAAAAAGGGCATGGTGTTTCCTCCTTTTTTTCCCCACATCTTTGTGTGGGGTTCTTACTTTTATCGCTCCGCGCCCGCCGTCCGCCGTCCGGCCCCGCCGTCCACCGCCCGCCCCGCCGCCCCCGCCGCCCACTCACTCACACTCACTGTCTCACACTCACTCACACACACACACACACTCACTCACACACACTCACTCACACACACTCACTCACACACACTCACTCACACACACACACTCACTCACTCACTCACTCACTCACTCACTCACTCACTCACTCACTCACCCACCCACCCACTCACTCACTCACTCACTCACGCACGCACTCACTCACCCACCCACTCACTCACTCACTCACTCACTCACTCACTCACTCACTCACTCACTCACTCACTCACTCACTCACTCACTCACTCACTCACTCACTTACTCACTCTCTCTCTCTTGCAGGGGCAACATATGGCAGCTGTCTAAAGGGACTGGATGTTGTCGAGCGCGCGGCTCGGGGCTCAATCTGCGTGACAGGCGCAGCACTTTGGAGATGGCGCACAGATTTCGTGGCAGGCGCAGTATTTTCTGCATCTGGGTGTGTGTTTGCGTGGCAGGGGCAGCATTTGGTAGGTGTCTAAAGGGACTGGATGTTGTCGAGCGCGCGGCTCGGGGGCTCAATCTGCGTGACAGGCGCAGCACTTTGGAGATGGCGCACAGATTTCGTGGCAGGCGCAGTATTTTCTGCATCTGGGTGTGTGTTTGCGTGGCAGGGGCAGCATTTGGTAGGTGTCTAAAGGGACTGGATGTTGTCGAGCGCGCGGCTCGGGGGCTCAATCTGCGTGACAGGCGCAGCACTTTGGAGTGGCTTGCAAATTTCGTGGCAGGCGCAGTATTTTCTGCATCTGGGTGTGTGTTTGCGTGGCAGGGGCAGAATTCGGTTGCTGTCTACAGGGACTGGATGTCTTCGAGCGCGCGGCTCGGGGGCTCAATCTGCGTGACAGGCGCAGCACTTTGGAGATGGCGCACAGATTTCGTGGCAGGCGCAGTATTTTCTGCATCTGGGTGTGTGTTTGCGGGGCAGGGGCAGCATTTGGTAGGTCTAAAGGGACTGGATGTTGTCGAGCGCGCGGCTCGGGGGCTCAATCTGCGTGACAGGCGCAGTGCTTTGGAGATGGCTTGCAAATCTCGTGGCAGGCGCAGTATTTTCTGCATCTGGGTGTGTGTTTGCGTGGCAGGGGCAGCATTTGGTAGCTGTCTAAGGGACTGGATGTTGTCGAGCGCGCGGCTCGGGGGCTCAATCTGCGTGACAGGCGCAGCACTTTGGAGATGGCTTGCAAATTTCGTGGCAGGCGCAGTATTTTCTGCATCTGGGTGTGTGTTTGCGTGGCAGGGGCAGCATTTGGTGCTGTCTAAAGGGACTGGATGTCTTCGAGCGCGCGGCTCGGGGGCTCAATCTGCGTGACAGGCGCAGCACTTTGGAGATGGCGCACAGATTTCGTGGCAGGCGCAGTATTTTCTGCATCTGGGTGTGTGTTTGCGTGGCAGGGGCAACATGTGGCAGCTGTCTAAGGGGCTGGATGTTGTCGAGCGCGCAGCTCGGGGGCTCAATCTGCGTGACAGGCGCAGCACTTTGGAGATGGCGCACAGATTTCGTGGCCGGCGCAGTATTTTCTGCATCTGGGTGTGTGTTTGCTTGGCAGGGGCAACATGTGGCAGCTGTCTACAGGGGCTAGATGTGGGCTCGGGAGCACTTTGGAGATGGCGCACAGATTTCGTGGCAGGCGCAGTATTTTCTGCATCTGGGTGTGTGTTTGCGTGGCAGGGGCAGCATTTGGTAGCTGTCTAAAGGGACTGGATGATGTCGAGCGCGCGGCTCGGGGGCTCAATCTGCGCGACAGGCGCAGCACTTTGGAGATGGCGCACAGATTTCGTGGCAGGCGCAGTATTTTCTGCATCTGGGTGTGTGTTTGCGTGGCAGGGGCAACATGTGGCAGCTGTCTAGAGGGGCTGGATGTTGTCGAGCGCGCAGCTCGGGGGCTCAATCTGTGTGACAGGCGCAGCACTTTGGGGCTTGCAAATTTCGTGGCCGGCGCAGTATTTTCTGCATCTGGGTGTGTGTTTGCTTGGCAGGGGCAGCATTTGGCAGCTGTCTAAAGGGGCTGGATGTTGTCGAGCGCGCGGCTCGGGGGCTCAATCTGCGTGACAGGCGCAGCACTTTGGAGACGGGGCATAGATTTCGTGGCAGGCGCAGTATTTTCTGCATCTAGGTGCGTGTTTGCGTGGCAGGGGGCAACATATGGCTTGTCAAGCGCGCGGCTCGGGGGCTCAATCTGCGTGACAGGCGTCCAGACTCACTTGCACTCATTCACACTCACTCACTCTCACTCAGGCTTATAGACTTCCAGCTCAGGCTTATTAGAGCTCGAGCTCAGGCTTATTAGACTTAGCGCCTGACTCTGCCTCGCGAGCAAAAAGAAGAGAGCACTCTACTAGTGACCGAGCGCTACCCCGTGGCCACTCACTCACTCACTCAGTCATTATCGCATGGCCACCAGAGAACCATTCACTGAAAAAATGCGCATGTGGGGTTATCCGGTCCTTTAATTTTTGGGGCCGGGGCCGGGGGGGGGGATGTGGCGGGGTATAAGAACAGAACCCCTGTTAGGTGGTGAGGCCACAAGACTTCGCCAAAAAAACGGGGGGTGAAGCGGCGCCATGACGCCAGAGGCCCCTGTGGGTGCGATTAGTGGGTGTCAGCCAAAACGGGGGGACCCAGAAGATGGCGAGTGTTCCTTTTGGGTTTCCACGCAAATAGGAATCGGCCAAGGGAACAGAAGAGTTTGCGCCTTGCGAGATAAGCCAGGGCTGGACTGCTGGGACCCGTTTTCTGGGGCTGAAACCTTGGCGGTTTCCCCTTGTGGTCCGCCAATACGGATTGACTTGGATTAGGGATCCCGCCATTTTGAACAGGGCTCCTTAAAAGATACATTTTGCAACCATTTGAAACATGGTTTGTTCCACCACAATAAAGGGAAACCACCATTTACAAGGCAATGTTCAGGTCTATAATGTAAGGATCCCTGTTGAACCGCCTGCTTCCGGCTTCAGATCGTCCTGCATGGGCGCTCACTGGGCAGTGCGCGGCGGGCTGAGGGCGGTTTTTGGAGCAGGCGGTTTTCTATGGGGCAGAGCAATGTGGGTGTGTGTTTCTCCCCCAGATTACCCAACACCGAAAAGAAACCGACACCCGTTTTCAGTGTCTCTGCTTTTCATGTCACTGCAGCTGCAACATGCTGGATCATCATGCTACGCTTCCTATGCTTTACAAAGGGCATACAGCACTGGTAGCTAGTTCAGAGTGTTTTCTCACCCGGCCATTGACCTGGAGTTTGCCACAGCCGGATCAAAGTGGCAAGACGAGCTCTCTTCGGGCTTCACCTTGTTCTCTGCCAATGGAAACGGGTGGTTGAAATACGCAATGGTTACAGGGTAGTGGTTTATACGACAGCGACATGCTCGCATGCCGCATGACTTGTGCTGGTTGCAAAGTTTCCCAACCTGGCGTGGATCCCGCTTGTTGGTTCCTTCGTTTGTTTGCCTTGTGCCCAGATTTGTTGCCCCAGACCTGCGCACGTGAGCGATGTGGACCTAGGCCCGTGTTGCGCCTGGCACAGCAAGCTTATGACCTGCAAGCCTGGCACGTGACATCCATGGCCGAAGCCGCCACCGGTTGCCGCAAGCCACTTGAGCCACAGTCAAAGCCTGGGTAGATGAAGGTTAGTAAGGGACAATCCCAACCAGAAATAGCTGCGGCCGCCTTCTTAATTCTTTACATGGTTCTGGGTCGACCGTTTTAGTACCGGGTTTTGATTATGACTCACTTAAAGTAGCCACAGAGATGTTCCACTTTTGAGGACAGCAAAAAGCGGAGAATATGCCGGACGTTTGCTTGGGCTTTGGGCGCCGCTCGTTGACAAGTGGCGCAAGGCTTCACGATTTGGCAACGGATCTTTGAACTTTATCTTTTTGGTTGAAGCAGGGGATTTTTTCCATTGGACCCGCAAAAAGCGACAAGAACTTGTGCAGAGGGGCCAACAGCAATCAACACAAGGTCCTCATTCGGACGTGGACATGGGAAATAGGGTAAAAGGAGCCACTTTTGGTGTGTCCAGGGAATCCCCTGAGTGTCAAAGAAGTCTTTGGGGTGGGAATCCCATCTTGGAATCACCTTCATGATTTCCCCCATAAGCTATTCTTAGTTTAGGGAGGACGGCAACAGGCCGCCCAAATTTCAATCAAGCTAGGGTTCCGCCCAAATGTCGGCTTGTCTCAATATGCTACACTCAGTAGCTGTTTGAAAGACTCAGGTGGAAGAAGTGCATTTGTAGGCTTTTCATCGAGCATATTGGGAAGGACAACGGCCTTGTCACAAGGTTTGCTTTGACCTCAGCGACGCACACGGAATCCTTGCGTGCCATCGCTGCTGCCTGTGTGAAATATGCCTCGCCACTTGCCGAGTGAGCCTCGCCTTTCTGGAAGCAGATTGCGAACCCGTGAAGGAGTCGATTGCTTTTATTCTTGCCGTCGTCTGTGTGTGCGTTGCCATGGAAGCTGGGATTCCCACAAAACGCCTTCGGCTCGAGGGATGTACGAAAGGGAAGCCACAAGACCAGGGAGCCGGCCAGGCTTCGCTGGGAGATCGGCGGCATCATACTGCAGCCGCCTGGCGAGAAAGTGACTGGTCGTTCACCCGGCCCAACATGGACCCCTCGGAAATGGACGCATATGGACTAAAACCTGCCGATTCTCTGGGTTTGATTTTGACCCACCTGGACTCCGCTTTTTGTGGAGTGTTGCACACCTCTGGACTCATCCAAGTTGTCCGTAGAGTTGCGCGCGATGCGCGCGGATTCAGTGGACAGAATCCGCAGGCAGCGGTTGGTACGTTCAAACCCCAAAGCGCCCCTCACCCACCCCATAACCCCCCGACATAATCACAAGCGCAGTCGGCCTTGCCAACTGGTGACTGCAGTGATACCGAAGACATCGACATGTTTCGCGCAGGTGCCCCTTCATTAGCATCCGCCAAGTCGCGGCAGACTATGCTGGCATGGCAGGCATGTCGGACCCGCATTTTTGGTCCCTCAGGTTGGAGCGGAACCGGCGCTTCGGCGCTGGGGTTTGCAAACTTGGTTGACACAACTAGACCCAGGGTTCCATTTGGTACAACCATAGTTAGCCTTTGGGTTTCCGTTTTCGGCAAATCAACCCCTGAATTAAACTCCAATCCGGGGTGGTCAAAAATTGCAACCTGACCAGACCCGATTCGTTGCATGAGGGGGAACCCGATGCGGTTCTTCAAACAATGGGTGGTTAAGCCGGGTGGGCCCTCGCCCTGATAACAAAATCTCACGTCAAGAAGCCGGACGCCTCTTGCTCACAAAAGAGGAAGGGAGCCCTTACCCCATCCACTGGAGATCCCAAAATGAGAAGAGGGGTGCGTTGCAAGAAGTTGGACTCCCCAATTGTTCTGCTCCGCTTTCTTTCTCCGATCTCCGGAAGGCTTTATGCCTGGTTCAAAACGCAAAAGGATAAACCTCACTGGACGAAATCATAGGATATTGTTTATAGGGATCATGCTATTTCTCATATCCTGCCTATCGAACCAGCAAGTTTAAGCTAAAAAGCACCCATGAAACAAATAAATAAACAATATATATATATATATACACCAAAAACAGCAGCTGTGTGGCCAGGCAGCCTGCTGATTCCTTCAGACTGCTACAACAACATGGATGCGCTGCAGCGCTTGTGCCGCCAGCTTGGAGCATCGGAGCGCGGGCAGGGCGGGCATGGAGCTATGGAGCTATGGAGCCATGGGAAGCCATGGTTTGTTGGTATTTACAGGGAATCCTTCATTCCGGGGTGTGTTAGGCGGCGCGACATGGATTTTGTGCATCCACAGTGTGGTGTGAAATCCCTTCACGAAATGAAGCCAGTGAAACCACACAAGCCATGGATGGTATTTGTTGTGGTACATGTTGTCCTCCAGTAGTTTTACTGCACAGATCTTGTGGAGGGCAGTGAAACCATGCCTGAAACCATAACGTTTGTTGGTATTTACGCTGGGAGCATCGAATCATTCCAGGGTTTCTTAGGTGGCGCGAAATGGATTTCGTCCATCCACAGTATGGAGATAGTAACATGGAGGTATGGAGGCCTGGACGATGTTTATATTGGTGATACATGATATGTGTTCCTGCCTCAACCTATATTTGGACGGTACTGTAGCAACCCCGTTTGTTCGGCGTCGAAAAGGAACGCCGACAGCAACCAACCCACCTAGCGCGAGCAAAAGTCGATGCGTCTGAGAAAGATGCATCAGGAGGTGGGGACCAAATGAGCGGGCAACGAGGGTTGCAAGGGTATGCAAGGGCCTGAAGAATGACCCTCCCACCAACTAACATGGGTTTGTGCAAAAAGGCCAACTAACCAAGAGGCAAGTCGTCTTTCTGCAGGGGTTTGTGCACTTCCATGTTAATGTTAACCCCGGATGAATAAACCCCTGGTTGCAGTAATAGGGGGTGTCCCCTTTTAGTGGTTGGATTCAGACCACTTTTGGATGGGTGTTCACCCTAAGAATGGGTTTCGGGTTAAAAAAACTCCTGGGTCAACCTTAGCTGATAGGAGGGCAACTTGTTCCGCCCGCGGCCAAAAAACCCCTGGCCAGCGCTTGAGTGCTGAACTGCTGAACTTCTCAGGCCCTAAGTCGGGCGGGCGGTTCGCCAGCGGCTCAGCCGCTTCGAAAAAGGATCGAGGTCGGTCGCGAACCTGCGGCTGCGTCCTTGTGGGAAGGTAGGCTGATAGAGGGAGGCCAAAGGAAAAGCAACGAATAGAGGGAGGCCAAAGGGAAAGCAACCATGTTGGGTTCCCCAAATTTTGGGGACTCACCCATACAATCATGCTTAGTCAGAGACTGGGGAAGAAAACCAAACGCATTGAGCCCCCTCGAGGGGCAGAGCCGAGGTGCCGATTCTCATCCTTCACGGGGAGCTGGACAAGGCATTGAAAGCACTGGCCTTCAAACAAACATTTTCCACCAAAATAAAGGGACACCACCATTGACAAGGCAATGTTGAGGTGTATCATGTAAGGATCCCTGTTTAGCACTGTGGATTTTATCCCAGTGGGGGGGGGGCGTGTCCGCTTAAGCCATGAAAACGGTTCGGGGGTAGATGAAGGTAGAGATAGTCCCAAGCATGAATGGGTGGCAGACCACTTGAATACCGGTTGGTATTGATTCTGACTCACTTTTCTTGGTTGTTGGATGGCGAGCCAGCCAGCCAGCCAGTCAGTCAGTCAGTTTGTCAGTCAGTCAGTCGAATTTGCTTGAATTTGATTGTGTTTGATTGCGGTTGAATTTATTTGGTTGTTTGTTTGTTTGTTTGTTTGTTTGTGTGTGTGTGTTTGCTTGTTTGATCTTGATGGAATTTTGTGCGAAGCTGTTTGAAGCTATTTGAATTTGTTTGAATGCGGTGGAATTTGTTTGTTTATTTGGCGTGTTTGGTGTTTCTGCTGTGTTTTTGATTTGTTGGTTTGCGCGCTTGCTTGTTTCATTGAATTTGTTTGAATGTGTTTTGTGTGTTTGTGTTTGTGTGTTTGTGTGTGTGTGATTACTTGTTTGTTTGTTTGTTTGTTTGCTTTGTTTTGCTTTGTTTTGTTTTGCTTGCTTTTGTTTTTGTTTGTTTGTTTGACTAACGGATCGATTGAATTTGTTTGTTTGTTGGTTTGTTTGTTTGAAAGTGTTTGCCTAATTGTTTGAGTGTGCTTGAAGAAAAAACACCTGTTTGTTGTTTGTTTGCTTGCTTGCTTGATTATGTTTTTGTTTGTTTGCTTGCTTGCTTTCTTGCTTGCTTGTTTGTTTGTTTGTTTGCTTGTGTGGTTGCTTGTTTGTTTGCTTGTTTGCTTGGTTGGTTGACTGTTTGCTGGCTCGCTTGCCTGCTTTTTGGTTTGGATTATATGTTGCTTTGTGTTTTTGTTTGTTTGTTTGTTTGTGTGGGTTTGTTTGTTTGCTCGCTTGTTTGTTTATGTGTTTTCTGTTTGTTTGTTTGTTTGTTTGTTTGTTCGTTTGTTTGTTTGTTTTGTTTGTTTCTTTGTTTGTGCGTGTGTTTGGGTGTGTGTGTGTGTGGTGTGTGTGTGTGTGTGGGTGCGTGCGTGCGTGCGTGCGTGGTGCGTGCGTGCGTGCGTGCGTGCGTGCGTGCGTGGGTGGGTGGGTGGGTGGGTGGGTGGGTGCGTGCGTGCGTGCGTGCGTGCGTGTTTGATTGTTTTCTCTTTTTTTTGTGTGTTTGTTCTGGTTTGTTTGATTGTTGTGTTCGTGTTAGTTTGGTGTGTGTGTTGTTTAAAAAAGCAAATGTTTGCTTGTTTGCGGGTTTGCTTGTGTGTTGGTGTGTTTGTTTGTTTGTGTGTTTGCGTTTGATTGTATTCTTTCTTTTTTGGCCTGTTTGATTGTTGCTTTCGTTTTGATTTGTGTGCTTGTTTTCGTGTGTTTTGTGTGTTTTCGCTTGCTTGTGTATCTTGGCTTGGTTGTTTGTTTGTTTCTCTCTTTCTTTATTATTATTTCTTTCTGTTTTTCTTTCTTTCTTTCTTTCTTTCTTGCTTTCTTTCTTTCTGTTTTTCTGTCTTTCTTTCTTGCTTTCTTTCCTTCCTTCTTTCCTTTCTTCTTTCTTTTGTTCTTTCTTTCCTTCCGTATTTTGTTTTTTCTTTCTTGTTTTTTTTTCCCTCTCGCTCTCTCTCGCTCTCTCTCTCTCTCTCTCTCTCTCTCTCTCTTCTTTCTCTCTTTTTTCTTTGTTTCTTTGCTCACATGAGACCATGCCTAAAACCAAATCTGCAGACTGAACCCCAGTGGTCGTTCTGCAAGCCGGGTCCTTTTTTTACGGGTCCTGCGCAACACCGGAGCTGCAGCGCTAGGTGATCAAGCCTTATCACGGCCGGGCGCTTCTGCAACAGGCGGGGTGTATTTCACAGCCCCTGCTCATGCCATGGTTCCCTTTTCCGGAGCCCCCCAACACCCGATCCCCCCCGCCCTTTCAGCGTATGCTGCACCATGATATACCTGCACCTGCAAAGTTGTTCCATGACAGGTGGCATTGGTGATGGAATCAGATCGGCGGAAGATGCCAACCCACAAGAAAGCAACAGAAATCCTATCGGCGCGATGTTTTTTTTTTTTTTTACCACACATATTGGAGGCTTTGGACAGCGGCCACCCCGCGATTGAGGCGGGCGCTGTGGACTTGCGTGTGGCCGTGGCCCTTTTTTTGGAGTTGGTAGCCCTTCATTGGTGGCTTGGATTGGCAGTTTGGGGAGTTGAACCCCTGGTTCTTGCAGAGGGTAAATGGGAAACCACCCCCCAACCTCCAAACCACCTATCCATGACACCAAGTATTGGAGAAAGCATACTTCTTGGGGCTGTTTTGATGGGAAGTGAAAAGGACTTCACCCATTTTGCGGTTTCTTTAGTTTGAGCAACACCCAGGCGTCTTGCCGTGTCTGGGAGAATCAGTCTCGGTCCGAAATTGTCCCCAGCCTGTGACTCATTTCGTGCCTTCGGTTGCCACATGTGCGGATCAGACCTCTTTCGGGGCATGGTTCAAATGTCAACACCACCACACCCACGTACCATGCGTGCTGACATTTGTTGGACCAAATGACTTGTTCAGGCACCGTGCGCCAAGAAGAGAAACGCCGCGCCAGGGGCATTTCCCCAGCAACGCCACTCACAATCACTGGTCGCTGCGCGGGGGGGCCTGGGCGAAGCGTGCGAGAGTCAGACTGAATGCAGGCATTGAGGTGGACCAACTCCACGTCGCAGGGATGCATGCAAACCTATAAAGCTGCTAGGAATGGGGGGTTTGTCCAGGATTCAAAGACCTCCCTGATTTTCTGGGTGGTTCCCGAAAGGTTTTGAGTGGTTGTCAGTTTAGTGGTGGGGCTTCCGTTCAACTTTTGCTTGCTGGTGCGTGGGGATGGACGTCCCAGGTATTGGGAATGAACCGGCTTTGGGGATTCCCTTAAAGGAAACCATAGGAAAGGGATGGTTTTTGCCGGGGTCATTCCAACTCATTCCCTGTCCATGGAACCGATTTCAAGTTGGGCATGGTCTCAGTTTGAGCAGGCGAAGACCTGGTCAAGCCTGCAGACTCGCCTGCCTGGCACGTGGGTTTGTCTCAAATGGACGCCGTAAAGTGAAAAGAGTCCCCTTGGTTTCCCTGGAAAAACGGTGACCAAACAAAAGACATGCTCGTTTGAAATGGACATGTTTACTTAGCCACATACATGAAATTGCCTACTTTCACGCGAGAAGCTGACCAGAGCAAGCTCGAAGTGTTTGGCCCGCTGGACCTTTGGACATCAGTTCTGCCAACTGAGGGCGTTCCCTCTCAAAATGTGGGTCTGTCTTTATTTAGGGGCCCCTCAAAATGGTCGTGTTCCTTTGGATTTCCCTTTGAAACCACCAAAAAAGGGGGTGACATAAAAATGGCGAGCCACCCATGTGTGGACAGATTATGATCGTTCTTTACTAATGCAAGTCTAACGCAGAGAGGCTGAGGAAGTCGTCCGCCTCGTCAGCTGCTTTTCTCGATCCAACAAACAGACAAAGTTTGGCAACTCCGCAGGTAAGCCGAAGAAGTCTGACGTTTGTCAGTTCCGACTCCTTTCCCGAGATGTGAGAAGTTGATGTCCCCTGCGCATTTTGTGAAGTGAACCAGGGTGAGATACTCCCTTCGTGTGGTCGAAACTCATGAGTTGCAAGTCGAACTTTTGCAAGTGGCCTCTGCCAGCACCGGGTAACCACTACTTTGTGTGGACAGTGCCAAGCGGATTTTGCACATGGGAAAAGCAGTTGTTTGGTCTGGGGGGGGTGGGTGCTGGTGTGTGTGCGTGTGTTCTCTTGCTTATCGACTCGGCAGGTTCCTGCAGCGGCACGTGGAAGGTTGGCGTGAAGAGGCCGTCATCTTGGAGTCAGATGTTACTGCTATCGAAGCGGTTGAAGCAGAGCTGCCTTTGCGCATGCAAGGTGATGTAACCAGCTCATTTACTACGGATGCTTTCCGAAATCGAAAAGTTTGGCAACAGCAGGCCCTTTGGCTTCGAAAGACGAGACACGATGGTTTCCCCTGGTTCCCTGCTATAACTGGCAGCACTGGGTTGGATTAATGTGGTCCTCCGAGCACAGCCCTTCGCAGGTCCCATGGCTGGGAAATGGTATTTCGCTGAGATGCTTCTAGACAAGCCCTTGGGATCGCCGGTGCGAAGCGCTCGGCATCCAATTGCCAACTTGGTTTTTTTTGGAAGACAGCAGTCACGGAGCTGTTTGAACAACTCTCAAGGGTTTGGCGAGCCAAATGGTCATAGCTCAACGTGCGAGAGCCAAAGATATGCCTTCGCTCGACGCCAAATGGGTGTGTCTTTTTGGAGTGTACGGCTGATTTAAAGGGAAATCAAAAGGAGACCCACCATTTTGGGGGTGGTCCAGTAGATAAAACCACACCCGAATAAACGAACTCTCCGTTGTTTTCCCTGTTTTTAACGGTAACCAAGCATGGGAAATGGGCTATTCAGTTCGATAAGTTGGATAGAGGCGTGTAAAAAGCAGAACGTCGTCATTTGTGAGGTCTTTGGTTCTCTTTCTGGGGTCAAGTCAGTGCGATCCCTTTCACCTACGGGTTGTAAGCAACTCATGGGGTCCACAAAAGGAGAAGACCCGAAAGGAGGGTTTCTTTTGCCCCAAAAGGGGACAACTAAACCATGCGTGGTATGTTTGGTTGTGCGAGCTGACCTGGTCCCCAGCTTTAGAAGCGCTCGAACATGTGCACAGTTGCCAATTGAGGGAGCTGATGTACCTTGGCTCTTTGCAATGAATTCACCACGGCATCGCTCTGGCGCAACGCTGGACAAGATTGCCGCAGCAAAAGGCGACAGAAGCACTATGACATTTGCCAAATTTGCCGTCTGTGTTGTTTGCAGGTACCCCTTTCAGCTTGGTTCAAAGAGAAACCAAGAGCAACACGGAAAACCATTTGTTTGGGTCTGCTGTGGCGAATCCTTTCCAGAGCCGCCCAAAGTCAGCTGATGCACGTAAAGCATTCGATCCAAGAGGCGGCCGCAGAACCAAGTAAGACACTTGTGTTTCTGGATGAGCATTGTGGGGCTGCTTTCGTTCAATCGTGCAACGGACTTGTGTGCGTGTGTGTATGAAGAGGAAGCCACCCACTACGCGCTATGTGTTGCAGACAAGCCCACTGGTTGCTTGTAAAGGATTTGGCTGCACAGTGGTCACCCTTTGGACCTACGACGCTTAAAATCATTGGTCCTGGCGATGCCGGGGTCGAATTCGGCTCGAGACGGATGAATGCGAATTTGCGCACTCGACGCTGGAGAAGCGTGCCCACGACGTGACTCCTTGCAAGTCTGGGCTAAGCCTCGAACTTGACAGCTCAGCCCGCCGCAGAAAGTTGCACATGGCGAGTTGAGCATCGCCACAATTGGCCATGTGTCCAGTGATTCTACCACTTGGCTTTATGATGATTAATTATAAACAACGTTTATATTTGGGTGGATCAGTGTGTTAGTACTATGAAAAGTCAATGGCTTTTCAGCGCAGTTGCGCATGGATTCTGCATTGCTTGTGCTTGCATGTCCCACCGCGCGCTGATTTCGCCTGGTCACGCAGCAGTAGGCGACATGAAAGTCATGGCACTTGCACAGTTGACAGCTATGCCCTGGGTGCGATCTCATGCTTGCCCCGCTCTCCACCTTGCGTGGCTCCACAAGCTGATAGCAAAAAAACACAAATGAGAAGCCCACATGTGAGAAGAAAAGGCAGGGTCCATGGAAGTGTTCTTTCATTGTGTCCTGGTTTGTTGTTTGGAAAACGGGCTGGTGTGAACTTACCGGGCTGCCCTCTTGCCTCTGGCCCTCACGAGTTGTTTGGACCCTTTTCTGCAGTCCTGCGCCCTTTGAATGGCGTCGCGGCGATGCTGCTGCCAACTCCGCGTGCCAAAGGCCAGGGCGCTCTTGCGCGTTAGCTCGAAGCTCGCTTCTGCCTCACGGTTTGGCTTGAGTTTACTTTAGGTGGACACTAGGCGTACCTTTGAAGTGTTTGCGTTGTTGTTTTTTGTGTTTTTCTTTGGAGGGGGGGGAGGGGGGTTGGCAAAAGCGCTAATACGTGTTCATGTGTTCTGGCGTTTGCTTTATCAGGTTTGTTTCGACCAGTCGCCGCCATCACATTTCTTACGTAGCGTAAGGAGTGTGAGGTGAAGAAAGGAGACCACATCGGTCAGTTGTTCTCGGGTCTGCCAGGTGCATCTTATGCTCAGCCCGCTTTTCTCCGGGACCGGGCAAGCCGAGTCTGGGAACCGGGACCCAGACGTTTCGATATTGTGAGATCAAGAGTCGGAATTACCTCTTCAGTGGTGGATATGAACCCCCACTAAATTATGATGTCCACCAAAGGGATCCAAAGGGTCTGGGACCCATTTAGCATTCGCACCCAGCCATTGCTTGTAGCGCTGCATTGGCACCCATTGGCCAGAATATTCAAGTTGCGCTTTCCCTGATAGTACATGGGAAACTGTTGAATTCGTTGTTGGCAGCTAGAACGGAGAGCAGGAGATTCTGGGAGCTCGCAAAACCCATGGGATGTGTCTAAGACCCAAAGTTCCTAGATTCAACTGGCGGATTTGGGGGAGTGCGCTCCCCTCGCAATTCGAGCAAGATTGTGTCTTCCATTTGCTTAAGAGCATGTGTTGTTGTTCCTTGTTGGTTTTTCAAGGGCATCGGTTTCGCCACTGGACATGTTGGACATTTTTTCGCAGGGGGCGAAAAAGCCACTGGAAGTCTCTGGAAGTTTTCGTCCAAGAAGCGGACTTGACTTCCATTTGGCTAAGAATTCTTATTTTCCCATGTTGGCTTTAAAGGGAATCTATCACTATTGGATGTTTGTTTTTCCTATTTTCCCCAATGGAGGGTATGGGTTTTGGAGGCAAGCCCATGCCAGTTATTGAAGGGGTCTGTACGGCCTTACAACCCTATGTTGGTACCCAGTTGTTTGCAGTTCGGGATATTCAGCCCATTGCGCAAGAGGTTGTTTCTTTTCGCCGGGCTGAGCTGTCGGTTTGAGGAGAAGTGCAGCCCGGCCAGCAGCTTCGTCTCTTCGGTGGAGTCCATGAGGTCTCGAGGCCCGCGGGGCGATTTGAGCCACCCTCCCAAATAGAAAAAGATCCCATGGGGGGTGAATTTCAACATATCTCGGCCCCCAAATGATCATATAGGTAATTTGTCCCAAGTGAAGAGATCCCCAAATGAGCAAAAAAATCAAAACCCGGGTAATTAGATGAAGGTTAGTAAGGGACGATCCCAGCCAGAAATAGTTGCGGATATCCGCCTTCTTAGTTCTTTACATGGTTTTTTGTGTCAGTCTTGTGTAGCGTTTTCAGTACAACTTTCACATCTCCACCAAGGGCCACTCTCTAAACGGGATGCTCTTGGGACATCAACCCCTGACAACTCATCTGCGTCCTGAAAATCAAGAAGGGTCTGCAGCCGAGGGTTGTTTAGTCAACTGAAACATGTGGCCAGGCATGTTTGACCGATTTGTCCAATGTGGCCATGAATGTTGGACCGATGTGTCTTGGATTTGGTTCCCAGGAAAAGTCGCAGCTCGTTTTTCCATAAGTGGGTGTGGCTCAAAATTAAACAGCAGGGGTTACGCAGGTTTTGGTCCATGTTTCCACTTACCAGGGTTCCATTTTGGTACCGGTTTTTTGAGCCACAGCCAAGTTGCTCTGAGAAGCCCCGCTCGAGCCCTGCAGTGATCCGCCACGAGCTGCGGCATGAGCTGCGGGCCTCCGCGTCCGAGGACTCGGTGATGCAGCGGAGGGGACCGGGTATGGGTCAGGGGACTGCAGGTTTTAGTCTTTGGTTCCCTTTACCAGGGCAAGCCATTTTGATTATAGTGATCGACTAACCCCAGAGAGCTTTGGTTTGCCTCCAGTGGGTTTGCTTTTTCAGCGTTTGCTCAAAAAATCGCCCCATTTGGCATAAGGGGCCACTGATTGATGTGAAAGACACACCCAAGCTGGGGTTCAAGTTGAGACAGTACAGGAAACAACCAGGTGGTAACACAGAAAGGGCGGTTTTCGGCGAAAGATACACAAGTTCAATACGGTCTTATGGATGGATGGACGGACGGACGGGTGGGCGGGCGAGCGGGCGGGTGGGTGGGTGGGTGGACGGCGCGAGCAACGTAGGGTGTGCGACTTTAATGCATGGTGCTCCCTCCGCAATCTTGCGATGACTCCGGTTGGGCAGCCAAGGGCAATGATAGACCAAGGCTGGCCAGCATAAGTTCAAGACGGCGTGACATCCTCGAAATGCAAAGATGGCCCAAACCTGCCTCCCACCGTGATCCCTCACAGCAGTACTGAGCCACAGCCACTCCTGAGTTGGATTTGGCGCTGATGCCTTCATGAATTTGGCAGCTGGCGATTCGCTGAGACTTCTGCAGATGCGACACACACTGACACACTCACACACACACACAGACAAGGGACAATCTTAAGTGCGTCCAGCTACCACTGTAGGCAACCCTTCGGTATGACTATCTCTAGATTTTACATGGTTTCCCCCCGGGTTCAGCTGACATCCTCCTTCGGCATTGGAGGCTTCAATGACAAAACCGCTCAGTTTCGCCTCAAGGTCCACACCTACGCTTGGAAGCGAGAAGGCAAGGTGTTGTGTCGGTGGCAAAACGGAAGGAAGTCCGAAAAAGAATCCCAGGCTGCCCCTTCCGATGACGTGGTCCATGCCCCAAAAACCGAGGCGCCCCTTAAACGGGCTCCATGTTCATCAGCCGCGGGACCAGCTGCAGGGCCTTTTCGCGGGGGATCCGGAAACGGGCCAGCCCAGTTTTGATGTTCACCAGGGGGCTTCTGAGCAGATGGCCGTTGTTGTACGAAATCCATTTGGTTTGGAATGTTGATGTTTTTCCCCCCTTGTTGGGTTTAAAGGGAATCGATTTCGCTACTGGACTGGTTTTTTTCCCAGGATGCGTGAGCAAATGGAGGGCTAGAATAAAGAAGACATCATTGGGTGCATTGAATTACAAATTGCCATTAGGAATTCGGGTTATCTCACTTTTTCATCAAACGTACTTGGGACACACAACAAACATATTGACTGTGGCTCATGCGGCTATGGTTCTTGATTGGGAACCCTCCGCAAAATGGTTGGTGGACATATCTTCCCAAGCAACTGATCCGCCAAAGGGACCGCAATTGAGATTCATACCCGTTTACGTGTTTGATTGATGCCCTCCCCACCCTGGCAACGCAGCATTTTGCGGAGCAAGCCTCTTGAGCGTCTTCAAATCTGTTCGTCTCATAGGTATGTGGATATGGGTCAAAATGAAACCACCAGGGCAAGCCATTTGGGCTACCTATTCTTGACCCACACCCATGTCGTCAAATTCGGTCAGGTGTCACTTGCAGACCCAGATGCACGGAGCTTAGCCAAGAATACAAAGCCAAAAGCGATCTCACGCTTCGCGACATCCACGCGCCAGTCTGAGATACTGCTACTGTAGCCATACAAGCAGTATGGCTTCCCATTGTCAGCTACGTACTGCAGCGTCGTGGCTGAGGATCCTATGCTGCCTGAGCCCCGTGTGTTGGTTCAGAGATTTGTGCTGAGCCTGACTTCTGGCAGTTTGGGTTGGCACTTCTTGCTCGAGCTTCGCATTCCCGACTCAGCATTGGGTTCCAATAATGTTAACCCCGGATTAATACACCCCTGGTTAAATACTAGGGGGGTGTCCC